CTATTGCATTTCGCTTGTTTTAAAACAAAAAAATAAGTAAATGTAATAAAATAAAAATGACAGTTAGAGGTATTTCTGGAAATTTTAATCGGAATTACATCAGGCTGTGTCTGGAATCTGGATAACTGAAGGATATTAAACTGCTTTTCAAATCCAGCCTGTGCCAAAAACACTCTAGTTTCCATGCAAAATCCTTGTGCAGATCCTGCTGCAGTGAATCAATAAAAACTCTGAGCTTTAATATGAGTTAAGGAGGGAGTAGGTTGTCTTATGATGAGGATATTCTCCTTCACATATCTGAAAAAAAAAAAAGAAATCTAAGTCATTTTTTTCTTGAAATAAGCACATTCTCCCTTCTTTGCTGCAGCAGATCTGAAGGTTTGATTCATCCAGCTGACTCTATAAAATAACCTTTACACCAGCGGTGTCCGACCTTATTGAGATAGGACAAAATCACCAACAAAACAAAAGGTAGATTTCTTTGAAATAAGAAATATAGAAATAATTCTGGTTTTGTTTATTGCTTTGTTTACTTGGTTTTAACTGGCCATTAGACATGAAAAATATAATTAGTGAACAAACATTAAGACCTAAAAAATGATATGAATGAGATATTACCAGTGCCAAAAAATGTGCTCTGTTTTTACTCAAAGTAAAATTTAGGGTTTAAATAAATTACTCAGTTAAGAGTAAAAAAGTATTTGGTAAGAAGGCTACTAAAATGAAGACTGCTAGACTTCCTCACCAACAGACCTCAGTCAGTCCTGGTCGGACAGAACACCCCTGATGTCATCATCCTAAGCACAGGCCTGAGCCCCCTCCTGTTCACTCTGATGACACATGACTGCGTCCCCAGGTTCACCACCAATCACATCGTGAAGTTTGCAGACGACACCACGGTGGTGGGCCTCATCAGAGACGACAACAACCAGGGCTACAGAGAGGAGGTGGAGCAGCTGGTGGGCTGGTGCAGAGATAAGAGCCTGATCCTGAATGTGGAGAAGACAAAGGAGATCATCCTGGACTTCAGGAAGAACCAGCCTAACCACGCTCCACTGGTCATCAACAGCTCAGCTGTAGATGTGATCAACAGCACCAAATTCCTGGGGGTGCACATCACAGACACCCTCACCTGGACTGTAAACACCACCTCACTGGTCAAAAAGGCACAAAAGCACATGTACTTCAGGAGAAGGATGAGGAGAGTCCACCTGTCCCCATCCATCCTCCCCACCTTCTACAGAAGCAGCATAGAGAGCGTTCTGACCAGCTGTCTCACTGTGTGGTGTCAAGGCTGCAGCACCGCAGACTGGAAGAAGATGAGAAGAGTGGTGAGAACAGTGGAGAGGATCATCGGTGCTTCTCTTCCGAGCCCATAACATTATAAATTGTATATGGAAAGAGGTGTTGCAGCATTCAATGCAGGTCCAGCAGATTACGAAACAGCTTCTCCCCCCCCCAATCAGAGGTCCCAGATTAGCGGCCAAGATCCACCTGCTGGCTTAACCAGACCCAAACTGATTTAAAACATTTATAAATTACTAGATGTAGTCCGACTGCAGTTTCTACTTTCACTTGTGCCGCTTCTCCTTTTAATACGGTAAAGCCGTCCAGAGCGCCCAGCACCCGGCTGCACGTGATACAAATTAGCCAATGAGCTGCTGTCAGTCTGGGTTGCTGCTGCTGCTGCTGCTACTTTTAGACACAGACCTGTGGAAAGCCGGGCGATGAGAAAGAAGGAGAAGAAGATGAGAAAAAGAGAGCAGAGAAAGCGTGGACTGCTGGAAGAACTGTAGTGAACTAGTGAAAAAAAGGGAAATAGCGTGCTCAAAGATGACCCTGCACATTTAGAGTATGTTTGGCTCAACCATTTAAAAAGTCAATGTATAACATGGATGCATTAACACCTCATTTTATTTCAGTGTTAAATTCTGTTTAAAGTAACAGATTATTAATTAAAAATGTCTCCTTGTTGTTGATTTTCTTTATTCGGACCCTGCTGATTTTTTATTGGTTGCCCCTGCTCCAAATCATGTCACAGTCTCTGCATCAAACTGCACCATGTTTTTTTCTCCCAATGGAAATGTCATGAGAGCTAAACAAAATAAAAGTCTTAAAAGTCTAAGTTTAAAATAACTAGTAACTGATCTACTACTGATAATGATAACAACAGATTGAATATTTAGAAAATGATGTACATTTATTCAAAGAATAGGATAAAAATCAACATATAATATACATTAATAAAATCAAAATAATTGATGGAATGGAAACTCTTTAAAATATTTTTTTTGATATAAAACTCAAAAATCATTTAACCAATAAGCCTTGAGTAAAAATAAGAAGAAAGTGTGTCTCTCAGTGGTGCATATTTGTTTAAAACAAGCTTGTTTTTATTAAGTGGAGTTACTCACGATAGATGAAGAAGCCACTAGCTAGACATTTTACTGAACTAATAGCAGAGGCGTAGCCAGAACATTTTTATAAGGCAATAACCTATGTACACTGAGGGGTGGCCGACAGCGGATCGGCACCAGAACCTCAGGTTCAGTCTAAACTGTTCCAACAGGACAATTAACGAGCAAAATATCAATATTTTCTAAATAAAGAAAAACTAAATTTTCCTACAGCCTTTGCTAACAAATAGATGCATATTTTTAAACACCTGTCATTTCTAGATGAAAGGTATAGTGGATAAAATTCATTCCGTTTTGAGTTCTGGGGCGTAAATCTTTTCCTTGGTCATTACTTACCTACTTGTATCAATAAACATTCTGCATAAAATGTATATTTACAATCACTAATATCTATATAGATTTATTATTTGATACGTTTTTATTAATATTGTTATTTATCTATGATTTCACAAAAAAGAGCATGCATTCTGTACTAATCATCCTTGATGTTAGAATATTGATGTGTATAATTAACCACAAAAAAAATAAAATGTTTTGAACATTTACTTGGGAGTATTACTGCTGCCACCATCTGTGTTGGAGGGAAAAAAACGGTAGGGGTGGCTACAGGGGTGGCCAATGGCTCTGTTCGAATTTAAGGCTGCGTCTTCCAAGGAGGCGGTCTACCTGGCCTGGATCCTTTGAAGTCCTTGAAAATAAGAAGGCCGGAAGATCTTTGGATGTGAATTCAAACAGGTCTATCCTTTGGTGGCTTTTACCGCTTACTAAGCGTGATAGTTGACACACAAAGCAGGAAGAGAATGAACGACGAACTTTTCAAAACTGTTTCTTTTTCATTTTTCTTTCTTTTTTTTATTGTAAAGTGAACAAAGAATAAACTCATGTGAATCCAGAGTGGAATAAAGGGGACAACCACTGGGAGCATGAACAAATAAAAGCCAATGTAATGATAGAAACCTTAGTCAGTTAAATAACCTGCTGCTGTCATTCTGCACATCTCTGATGTTGCTGCTATTTTCAAATATCCATTACTATAAAAATGTCCATAGCTGTATATTTATTCTATTTATTCTCCAGCTGCACAGTTTTATATTGCTGAAACGTTTTACAGTAGAGTATTTTATTGTTTATATTTGAACTCTTTTGTTTGTTTTTTAAATACATTTTTCTAAGGTCCACATTTGTGTGACCATTTTCAATAATCTTTCTGCTGCTGTAAATTTGCCCCATTGTGGAACAATAAAGAGATTTTCTATTACATTCTATTCTATAAAAGGGGCAGAAAGACATAAGTAAATCTAAACAATGTATGCATAAAAAATATATCTGCAAAATCTCTAATATTCAACAACAAAAAATACTTAGTTAAGCAAATTCTGCAAAACAGCAATAAAAAAATTAAACTCCTATCAGATTTATAGTCCCCACCCTGCAGATATATTAGAATCTGTCCTTAAATTACAGCCAAACCCATTTACACAGTAACAGATAAAAACCTGTAGATAAACCAAACATTACCGCCACATATCTGACTCAATAACCATTAAAATAACTATTTTCATTCATTTCAAACAGAACTAATCACTGAACTATTCACATACTTGTATTATATTAAACTGAACTTCCAATTTTCACCACTGTTCGACCCCAAGTACCATTTCTTCTAATCATGGAGATGCCGGCTTGCTTGGTCTCGCAATGAATTCTGGGATATCTAAGGATAGCGAGGATACATCGGACCCATCCTTCAAATCTGGCAAAAAGAAGGACGCATTTGGAGGCTGCATAACGAGGAGTCTTGGAATCCGACCAGACTTTGGCGCGGCGCTATGACATAATCGTCCTTCGAATCTGTGCTTCGGAGTATGCAGCACATAAATATGAACACAGCAATTCAACCATTTCATTCAGGTGTGTTGGTCAAGGATGAATCTAAATGTTGCAGGAAACCGGCCTTCAAGGACTGGAGTAGCCCGCCCCAGACACAACCCATAAATTCGAACAGAGCAAATGATTGCCTACCGGTGGCCATGGCCACCCCTGGTCCCCGATCTAGCTCTGCCACTGAGTAAGAGAAGTGATACTTTATTAATTTTTTTCTCAAGAAAAGCCCAAACAAAACGATGTAAAACCACTTCTAACGTTTTGTTTTCAAAAGGTTACTCAAGTAAATGTAACTGAGTAAATGTAACTAGTTACTTCCCACCTGGAAATGACGTTGAAAACATGAAAAAAGGGAAAATTCATCAGGGTCACTTATCAAAAGCACTTGCTTCATTTAGCCACAAGGGGGCGCCAGAGTCCAATATTGAGTAAAGGTCGATAGCTATTTGTGTTACTAATCTTATTATGAGAGATGCATATATACAATTATGATTCAATCATCAACGATTCTATTAAATCAGATCAAATTTTACCCTAAAAGATGTAGTAATTGAAGCGAAAACAGGCCCTCAGATCAAATTCTACATCTCATGTAGGCCTGTAGATGGTGGAAATATTAAGCATGAGCAAAAGAGATCGACCTTTTCATGTTTGCAGCAGTCGGTAATATTCCCAACTGAAGCAACAGCGCCCCCTGTGTCGGTTTGAGTCCATGATCATGTGGATCTGCGTTTAGTCTGAGGAAGGAAGCTGTGTGTTTTTCCGCCTCCAGATGACGGCTCCCTGCGGCTGAAAGCGTCCAGAGACCCCCGCTGCTCTGCTCCATCATCACCAGCATGGCGCCCAGAGACCCTCTGCTCGCCTCCCTCAGAGGTAAGCATCCTCATCAGGACCATCACTGCACTCAACCTATTCCTTCAACATATCAGCTTCTGGGTTTTCAGTAAAAACGGTTGTTTTTATCATTTTTCTCTGACACCAGACCCTTTCAATCCATTTTATCCCACTATATTTTAGATCTGATCTCTTCTGCTCTGTTTCTATGGTTTCATGCAGTATTATCTGTGTTTTATTTTTATCTCCCAGTGTGTGTCCTGAATATGCAGTCAGATGGTGGCATGGTGACTGACTCCAGCCCTCATCTCCCCTCCTGCTGTGAGCTGCTGGAGTTGGTTCTCAGGAAGGGGCTGCATCGTGAGCATTAACTCCATTTTTAATCATCCTTTCTCCTCCTATAAGCACTAAATGCTTTGAATATTTCTCCCCAGAGCCAGTCCTCAGCCTGGTCCAAAGAGATTACTGGCATTGTTTCGAGCAGCTTCATCATCATGACACCTGCAGCAGGTAGAACAAGTTGGCAACATTTTTCCTGCATTTGACTCACCTGAAAGCTGCTGCAAAACTTTAACCTTCTGGGACTTTTTTTTCATGCAGGCTCTCTGCTCTGTCATTGGCTGTTGAGCAGACCAGAGCTTGCAGGAAGCTGATCTCAGCTCAAGGTCGGGGCCGCTACCTTCTCAGGCTGGCCCTCAGCCGCAGGACTCTGTCCCAGTTCTTCACCCACCTGCTGCACACGTCCAGAGTGCTTGAGGTCATTCATGCTGCATACATATTTCCCTTTATGGCTTTAATTATAGCTTATCTTAAACGCTCTGAAACATATTTTCTCCTTTACTGTTTCAGTGGTACAGCCCTACATTATCAATCCTCAGGAATGAGGAATTTGTTGGTAAGGCATGTAACTTGGTTTGTTTCATTTATATGCATGGATGGGAAAAACATGACATGAAACCTGTTTTTTTATTTTTTCCCAGAGCCTTTCATGTCACTGCTGCTGGTCCTCTCTCATATGGAGTTCAAACTGGACATGGAGGTCAGTGAAAAATGAATGTACTATTTATATTTTTACACCGCACATTACACAATAATAATCCAACTTAAAAACAATAACTTTTTTTTTTCTATAAACAGAACTGCAGTTTTTTAGATGAGAGCTGGCTGCTACCGGTAAGGGCACTACAGCAAAAAGATATCAAACTGATGTTCAGAAAATAGAGCTACAGTATATTTTCATATCCGTTTGACTTGCCCATATCTTGTCACATCATAAGAGCAAACTCATGCATTGTATTTGAGAGACCAACATGGAAATTAACCAACTGTCCCAGCTGCAGAGGTTCACAACTTAGGTGGACAATTTTGTTGATATGAGTTGTGCGCCTTATAGTCAAGCTTTGTGGAAAACTGCCTAGAAGATCTTACACTTTCCACTCTATTGGAGATAGCAAACATCTGTAAGAAGGTCATTGGTTCAGATGAGGCCAAAGCTGAACTCTTGGACTAAAAAACTAACGCTGCACTTTACTGTGAACACACCATCCCAATGGGAAAGCATGGTGGTGGCAGTATCATTCAATGGAGATGCTATTCTGGAACAAGGATAGGAAACTGTTTAGAACTGAGGGGAGCTAGGAAGGAGTTAAATACGAGGACAGTTAAGGGCAATCAGTTCACAATGATTGGTTCCATGTCTACTCCGTTATTTGTCCCAAACTGCTGTCCAGGAATCTACAATAGATGTTTGTAGGAGATCGTATATCATCCAGAAACATACTTTTGTACAGCCCGTGCCTTTTATTTTCAAATGCACCAGATGAATTTGATCTTTCTGTGTCTGAAATGACCTGATCTGGTTTACATCTGGAGAGAACAACACAGATGACTGTGTGAACCTGAGGTTAGAGGCTAAGAAAGATGTGTGACTGGGCCAGAGGTCTGCCTTCCTGCAGGACTCTAAATTTAAAGTCAAAGCTCCTGTGGAATGTTTTGATTAAATCCTCAAAATCCGGAGCTAAATCCTGCTGAAACTGTATGGAAAGATTTCAAATTTCACAAATGCAAAAAAATTTAGGAAAAAAAAGTCAGTCTCTACATATGGAAAGCTGGAAAGTTTTAACCATTAAAATACACTGAATATGAGGTTACAAAGGAAAGAAATATTGCAAAAAAGTTGACAGTAGTCAAAAATAGAAAATGCATAGTAAAAATTTAAAATCTAAGTAAAGAGATGGAGAGGAGTTTTAACAGACTGTTTACCCATACTGTAGGTGTGTGACACTTATGAAGTTGTGCCCTGTCGGGAAGTTGGAATGATTTTAAGGTTCGTATTTTATATATTACAAAGGAAGAAAAATATTCTTAATTCCAGTCGTGTGTCACGATCTCAGCGTGTTTCTTCCTCAGGTATCTAAGCGGCCGTGTCTTTGTCCTGGACCTGGTCCCTGGCAGTCAGGCTCACGTTGACATGTTTGTCTCTGCTGGTGACATCATCGATGAGATCAATGGGACTTCCCTGAGAAATTCCAAAAATGGACAAGTGAGGGAATCCTATTTTTTGTTTTTCCACATGTTATTTTTTTTCATCTTCATAAATTAATAATATAAATTAATCATCGGCATAAAAGATAACCCAGGAAGTTAACCACCAGCCTCCCAAAGATTGCCTATTCAAATTATGTAAGAAAAAGCAAGTTTATTTATATAGCACATTGCAACATTTTTGCTAGAATTCTAAGGCTGCATTTCTTCAAGACAAGTGAAGCATTAAAACTACGATGTTTGATACTATGTTTTAGTTTTAGTGAGGACACAGGCAGCAGTGATCAGTTTGACTAGAAGTAAAGGTATCAATGAGTTTTCCAAGAACCTGCTCAGATATTCGGCCTTCTTTAGATGATAAAAGGTTGACTTTGTCTTATGAGCCTCTAAAGGTTCAGGTCTGAGTCCATTACTACACCCAGATTTAGAGCCTGATTGGTGGTTTCTAGCTGCAGTAACTGAGGTTCTGTGCTAATTTTTAAATGTTCTTCTTTAAATGGTCCTATAGTCACTCTATTACAGGTGGAGTAATGTAACGAAAGTAATTTCTCCCTGGGATTATTAAAGTATTTCTGATTCTGATTACTGATTGATGGGACAGGTGTTGTGAATGAAACGGTGCCCAGCTTGAAAGAGCTCCCGTGTGTCGCTGAAAGTGTGAATAGATGACTGAACACACTACAGTGTGTTGAAGTCATGTTAATGTGTATTTAAAGACATTTCAATTAGTGGAAAAAATTGCAGGGGGAAATATATATAAAAAAGTCTAATCAACCAAAACTTTCGTGAACCCCATGCAGTACCTCTGTGGACCCCCTAGGGGTCGCGGACCCCCTGTTGAAGACCTCGGATATAGAGAAAACATTGAGACGACAGGAGGAAGAGCTTAGTTAGAGTAAGATTTCCTTTTAAGTTCTGTAGTTTATTTGTTGAAGTAAAGATAATTTCTGGTACTGGATGCATTTTTTTCAGTGAACTTTGGAGATTCATTTCAATTCCTGGTAGAGTTGAATTCAGATTCTACAGTCACAGGAGCACTAGGAATAAGTAAAATGTTCTAAAATTAGGTGTATTTACCCTTAGTTTGAGTAGATAAATGAGATAGTTTGCAAATTGAATGAATATTTTACTCTTAAAATAAGATAATTATAACATGCACTTGAAATAAGAATGCAATTGTGTTTTCTTATCCATCCATCCATTTTCTGTCATGCTTATCCCAAGCGGGGTCACGAGGGGTGCTGGTGCCTATATCCAGCTGTCTACGGGCGAGAGGCGGGGTCCAACCTGGACAGGTCGCAGGGCAACATAGAGACAAACAACCATTCACGCACACACTCACACCTAAGGCGAATTTAGAGAAGCCAATTAACCTAACAGTCATGTTTTGGATTGTGGAAGGAAACGGGAGTACCCGGAGAGAACCCATGCATGCTCAGGGACAACATGCAAACTCCATGCAGAAAGACCCCGAGCTGGGAACCAAACCCAGAACCTTCCTGCTGCAAGGCAGCAGTGTTACCCACAGACACACTGAGCACCCTGCGTATTCTTATTTTAAATGTAAATTGTCGTGTTCCATTGCCAAAATGTCTCTTTTATCTCCTCAATCCAAGAACAAATGCACTTATTTTAAGAAAAAAATTACTTAACTAGAGTTTGATTTTTTTTTTCATGTCACACATGTCATATAAGGTGGTGTTATATGCTGCTTTGTAATCCTTGCTTCCAGGCTGGCGTTGTTTTGTCTCGCCTTAAGGGCCGCCCTTTATCCATCCGTATTCTGAGATGCAGGGCTCAGGATGGAACAGTGTATCGGCCCCTTGTCAAACTCTTGAGGGATCTGAGGACAGAGAATCCCAATATGCAGCTCAGCCTCAATCCCCTCCAAAAGGAAACCGATGACAACCGAAGGCCTCCTGGCGTATCCCAGTGTCTCAAGGAGGGAAGGCAAGTGTGTGAACCGTTTATTTCAAAGCTCCAGGTTTGATTTTACATAATGATCCGCCAATCTCTCAGCAGAATCGTCTACATTGTGAAGTTCTTGGGAAAAGCAAACATTGGAATGGTAATTATCTCTGTTTAGCTTCTCTTAAAATGCTGTTTAAATGTGCTAACAACTTGTGTAATGTTAACCCTTAGTTTGGAGGAAAAGAAGTCCTGCAGCATGCAATTCCACAGGTGTTGCGTCAAAACCTGTCTAGCAAGGTAAAGCAGTCGTTCAAATGCCTGCAGGCACAATGCAAACTATGTTGTGATACCATTATCTGCTCGCTCTGATCCGTCCCTTAGGACGTGCTTTTGGATTTGAAGGAAACACATGTGACGTGCACAGACAGAAACAGTACACAGGTAAGAAACATATCAGCAGCAAAACATTCAGCTCCACCCCATGTTATGTTTATATTATCCATGTTTCCTCAGAAACTGTTTGAGCATCACTATCCAGAGATTTCCTGTGTAGGGAGGTTTGCTCAGCCGGGCTACATGATATTCGCCTTCTGCGTGGCGTAAGTACAAAGCATCGCGTTAAGCTGAACAATCACTTCAGTTTGTTTTTCTGATGCAAATGAATATCTTTTCACAGAGATTCTCCAGAAACGCCTCAGTCCAGCGGTTTTTGTTGTGTGGTGCTCAAAGCCAGCACCATTAAGGACTGTGAGGATATAGTCTGCCGCATTGGTGAGGCCTGTTGATGGGTTCATTTTGAAAAACAAGACAATTATGAAACAAATTCATTGGAAAGAGGGATTTTGGGATTGTTAATATTGATTATGGCTTACAATCAATTTTAGATTGACCAATAAATCAGTGGTCCAGATAATTAGTATATTTGACTAATTTACAAAAGGTATTTCTAATATTTCCTAGGTTGGATAATCAGTGTCAGCAACCTCCTTCCGAATGAGGAGCAACATTTTTAGAGAGGAAAAAAGGTTGAAGGGAAGAAAAAGTGATATAAACTTTGGAGTTATTTCTTTAAAAACTGCACCAGAGAGGTTGGATTAGAACCAGAACTCACCCAGGCTAAAGGAGAAAGTTTTCTCATTATTTAAAATGGAAGCACATATTGAATGGAAAGGCTAAAAATGCTAATTATAGTTTCCATAGACTATAAAGAATAGAAAATCCAATTATTGTCCCACAATGGGGGAGTTGTGTTTACGGCAGCAAAAGGTTATACAAGTGGTTACACACTGTGCACCCTAGAAAAGTGTATAACAATATACTGCTATAAATACAATATCAAAGTATATACAAGTTAACTTTACTAAACACTATTTCAACTTTGATCACTGTGCGGTCAAAGAGAGCCAGTGCCACCGTACCGAAATGAGTATATATATATATATATGCACTTTCCATTGACTCCTGTAAGATAGACTATTGGCCAAATCCATTTAAAATCAAGTGCATGTCTGATTCTTATTTCAAAAATTATTTTGCAGACCATAATTACCCACTTAAATTAATGGAAAATATGGTTATTTTAGGAATTTTACTCAACAGGATTTGTAATGTTCTGACAAGTGATTAAACTGATTAATTTCATACTAAACAAAAAAACAAAAACAAAAAAACACACATCTCACATTTATCTTCAGACAAGATAATCACTTCATGTTAGATCAGGAGTCTGCATCATTGGCTTTGTAGCCCCTTTAGAATAGTAAATGTTTTCTTGCCCTGTTTTGGTGTTATTGTGTAGATTTAGAATCTAGAAGTGCCGCTAATTCCAAAGGTTTGTTGGTCTTTGCGTCATATTTACACAAGCATCAAACATTTCAAGTTAACAGATTTCCCATTTTGATAATCATAGATGCACTTATTCTGGAATTACCATTTAATTTTCTCACCATTTACCAGCTTGTATCAATTTGCTGACATCAGCATCCCTAGTCCAATAGTAGTTAACTTCTAACATTTGATCTGTTGTAACTTCACCATGCAATCTTTGATCTACCTATAATTTCACCAACCCTTGTCCTTTCTGTTCACAGCTGCTGGTTTCAAGCACACAGAGTGGTTTGTATAACCACAGATCAACCCACCCATGTAAATAAATGAGTTTAAAAAGTGCATTATTGTCTGTATACATCATGACAAGACACAAACTTGTATTCATAAAGAGCTTTAATAGAAAGACATGTGACCAACATCTCATAAATAGTATTAAATGTAGCTGCCAAGATTTTTGTGTTTGATAAAACGCATAAAAAGCGGCCCTAAACAACGTCAGGGGTCTGCAGGGCTCCCTTTTAGTTCAGAGGACTAACTGAGATAACCGATACATCGAGACTGCTGATATGCACCCAGGGTGGCATGCTGGCATTTAGATAGTAAAGAAAAACTGCTCCCAGAAGGTGATCAGAATTGATTCTTGAGATTTTAGAGATCGCTCCCTCAACAGGAGCCCAACATCCACAATTAACTGGAGTAATTACATTTAGTGATAACCCAGAAAGGTTATCTTGTCCATGGTGCACTTGGGCTAGTGGAATGGTTGGTATGTTGTCTATCACTAAATAGAAAAATTCAAAGAATTTATAAAAACAAAAACCCAAGGAAAAAAATGTCCACAAAATGGATAACTATGATAAATATGTCATAATGCTGGGATTGGCCACTTAAGCCCTTTCACCCCTTATCCTGCGAGCCAGCTGGATGTCCTTTGGCATGATGGTGACACGCTTGGCGTGGATGGCGCAAAGGTTAGTATCCTCAAAGAGACCCACCAGGTATGCCTCGCTTGCCTCCTGGAAAAAAACAAAAACAGAGACAAAGTAAGCAATTTGTAACACTTACCCCACCAAAAAAAGCCAGGTGCAGCATTGATATAACGGTTTACCTGAAGAGCTCCGATAGCAGCGCTCTGGAAACGAAGATCAGTCTTGAAATCCTGAGCAATCTCCCTCACCAGACGCTGGAAGGGCAGCTTGCGGATAAGCAACTCAGTGGACTTCTGGTAGCGACGGATCTCCCTCAGAGCCACGGTGCCAGGCCTTTGAAAGACAAGAAGTCAGATTAGCACGTTTCAACAACAACAACACCGCATATGAATGCAATGAAGGTCCCATACCTGTAACGATGCGGTTTCTTCACGCCTCCTGTGGAGGGGGCGCTCTTCCTAGCAGCCTTGGTAGCCAGCTGCTTCCTGGGAGCTTTCCCTCCAGTGGACTTGCGGGCGGTCTGCTTGGTACGGGCCATCTCGCAGTTCCTAAAAGTGTGGTGGAAACCAATTAACTTTGAGCAAATTGTTCAGGGACTGCCGAAAAGGAGATTTCATCTGTAAACAAATGCTAAAGCTAACGCCGCTCCCCTCCCCCAACACCGCATCCATGGAAGGCGTCGGCCTCCCATGGATGCCTTTAAAGCCTTTAAAGGCTCAGCAATAAAAAAAAACTGCTAGTCCTCAACGTAAACATAGTTGTGGACATTTTAACACAAGAAACGTGGTAATAATTATTTGTTTTGGTACAGAGCTTTGTATTAACGCTAACCAGGTCAAAACAAATGGCGCTCGAAACAGCGCGGTGGCGCTTCCACCTCGCCATTTTCAGTTTCGCCTTGAAATACGGAAGAAAAAAACAAGGACTCACACTCAATTCAAGCAGTTTGCTTAGGTCGTCACGTTTCATGAGACTGAATCATTAAATACAATTGTGCCGCCAGCTACTTTTAAGCTCAACCGTTGAGTGTTAACCGGTATATTTTGATCTTTAGCGATAAAAAAACAAGACTCAAGAACCTCCATTGTTCTATTTTTAGCTAACGCTTCCATTTCACGTAAGGCTGTGAGGAAATAATCGTAGACAAACAAGAAAACGACCCAACTAAAATCCAAAACCGGTTCAGATAGCCAATTACAGCCTCAACAGACACAATGAAATAAATATATATATATCTTACCTGTTAGTTTACCGTATGCTAAGAACTCGTCGAGTTCGACTAACATCAAATACAACCCAATGAAAAATGTCTACTGGAGAGAAAGAACGAGGCCGAGTTATAATACTTCAACGTGACGTCATGATTTTCGCAGACGGCGCGCCATTGGCTGATCCTCTCACACGGGATATGGCGCAGCCAATCAGATAAAACAATCAAATATTTGCTGTAAAACAACAATAAAGCGTATGATTAAATGATCTTGTGTTATGTTCATTGATCAAAGAACGCTGTTTATTGAAAACATCTTTTCATATAAATATATTATTATAGTTATCGATAAACTTCATGTCCCATAGTTCTGTGTTGCGTCTCTTCTCTACTACTACTTCCTGTTGCCTCGCGCAAGCTCACAGCGTAGGAGAATGCGGATTTCGAAGCTAAAAAGAAGAGCTAGCCTGTAAGCTAAAAACAAGCTTCTTGTTGTTAGGCTTCAGACTGGTTAAATGTCTAAAACAAATTCACAGCCCCCGTCGTCTTCGGCAGCGACGACCGCAGCAGGAGGGGCATCCTCGTCCTCATCGTCTTCGCCCGCTGGGGGCTCGACTTCGCCCGCCACCGTGTTGAACGTTCAGCCCGAGAAACCTCAACATTACACGTACGTAGCTGCTTAGCAGCGCTAGCTGGCTGTGTACACAACCTCACGTGCCTGTGTCATACACAAAACAAAAGCTTGATTTTACTACAAACTTTGGTTGCGAATTGAAACTTTAAAATATCTGGAATGAGCTATAGAGTGCTGGAGAGCAAATGTTCCTGGTCCTAATGGAGAGGCCTAATGTTACTGAACATTACTGAAAATATTGTAATATCATTTTATTTTTGACACTTTGTGACACTATTGCAACACATTTGGGCGGTTTATGGTTTAATTCGATTCTATAGTAAAGTATTTGTTGGGAAAAATATAGTTTTTGCAGCTTATGTTGCTGTTAGCTTTGTGGTATTATAGTTATAAGGTGAGCGCTTGAATTGTCCAAAACAAACCCAGTGGCATTAAAACAAACTTCACTGTAAATGCTTTGATCTGTTTAGCTGTAATAGGTTTTGGATGTGGCTACTAGCTTTGCAGATTCCGATACTCTGAGAGCTTAGCTGTTGTTTTTGTTATTTGTTTTGATAAATAGTTTTCTAACCCGAAAACATACGTTCTCACTATCTTCAGTATATTAATTTGACCCAGTTGTAAAAAAAGGCTGCCACCATTGTGTTGAACCCTCTGGGATGGTGGTTTCAGAGTGATTTTTTTTATGGTGAGTTGCAAATAGGACAACTTATTTATTATTATTATTGTTTATTAGCCAAAAAAAAAAAAAAAAAAACACTGAACCGCTTTCTGACACAGGCCAGTTTAGGGAGGTTTGTTATATACAGTAGGACTGCAATGATTGTTTTACAAATTGCTTAATCTGTTGATAATGTTTTTCAATTAATAATCGGATAGGCAAAGGTTCCTTAAAGAAGACTTTTTGCTAAATTAAACCAAGTGAAACGAAGGCTTTCCACTGGAGGAGTTCTGGATAGGCCGTTTGGACAGACAAAAGGGTTGTTTTTTTTTCTTAAATACAAAATGTTTACAGTTTTTTTGTTTTTGTTTTTACAATTTTGGTGTAATTGCTGCTAAAGGTGGGTTACTCTGTCAGCTAAAGGCATGTTTTAGAGTTGCACTCCATCCATTTTCTGTCATGTTTATCCCAAGCGGATGAATGAGGGGTGCTGGTGCCTATCTCCAAATGCCTACGGGCGAGAGGCGGGGTACACCCTGGACAGGTCCCCAGTCCATCGCAGGACAACACAGAGATAAACAACCATTCATGCACTAAGGAGAATTTAGAGAAGCCAATTAACCTAACAGTCATGTTTTTGGACTGTGGGCGGAAGCCGGAGTACCCGGAGAGAACCAAAGCGTGCTCAGGGACAACATGCAAACTCCATACAGAAAGACCTCGGACAGGGAATCGAACCCGGAACTTTCTTGCTGCAAAGCAGGAGTACTACCCACTGTTCCACTATGTAGCCGAGATTACTAAATCAGTTAATGATTATTTCAATAATTGATGAACCCGATAAATTGTTTCGGCCCTAATATTAGTTGTCCTATTAACAGAATCTTCTCAATGAATAGTGCATTTCTGCAGTTCCTCCAAGGTTCCAGTTGACCCCTTGGCTGCTACTCTAATCACTGCTCTCTGTGTTTAACTTGCCAATTTAGGCTCATAATATTTCTATGTTTTTTTAGTTGTGTTGCACTTTTAGCATTCTTGATTACTGATTGATCAGTAGTCCATGAGATATTCAAAGCCTGGGATTTTGTTGCAAACTACTCCACATTTTTACTCTTTCCTTGTCATGTTGACTTGTTACTTTGACTAAAATAGTTTTATTCATGCTGAGATAAGTATACACATGGAGGGACTTTTAACTAATTACCAAATTTACTTTATATTCTTAAGTTACAGTATATGCAAAACTGTTAAATTGAAGTGAAAGCTTTAAGCTTTATGTAGGGAGAGTATTTGCCTATTCAAAAATGCACGGTTTGACTCAAAATATTTTTTCCGGTGTCTCCTTCTTTTCCAGATATCTCAAAGAGTTCAGAACTGAGCAGTGTCCCCTGTTTGTCCAGCATAAATGCACACAGCACCGTCCGTTTTCCTGTTTCCACTGGCATTTTCTAAACCAGCGGCGGCGCAGGCCCATCCGCAGACGAGACGGGACGTTCAACTACAGCCCAGATGTCTACTGTACCAAATATGATGAGGGAACAGGCACTTGCCCAGAAGGAGATGAGTGAGTGTCTCTAAGGCTCCCTTCTATGTCATGATTTCTTGATCAACCCACATAGGGTAATTTCCCTTTTAGGATTCAGATTGTAAACACGGAGTAAAATGGTACAAGCGCATAATATGGTGATCCTTGTTCCACATCCTATTTTCTCCACTCATATCTGTTCCAGTGGATCAGAGATAAAATGACAGGGCTGGAAAAGTTGATCAGAACTGATGGATGAAAGCAGATGCATACAGGGAACATTATGAAGAAGTCAGTATCTCTAGGTTCAATTTGCCCAACTAACAAATAATAAAATGTTCAAAATGAATCAAGAAATGTATATACTTGATGTACAAAGT